GGGAGGATGGACTACAACTCTAGACAGGTGCCCCTTTAACGAATGGGAGCTTGGGGCTCCCTAGCGTGGCGGGATCCGGTTCAACCTACTTCCGTTCAGGCTTTGGTAGTTTACTTTTGTTTATTTGTTTGTTTTAGGAGTTCAGAATGGAGATGGACTATAAACAATGGATAGTGGACTTTGTTAACCAGTCCTTACTTCAGTTAAGCACCTGTGATGTAGAAAGTAAGCGCTATGAGAGAACAGAGTTTGCAGAACACCTGGGAGAGATGAACCGCCAATGGCACCGGATGCATGGAACACTGAATAGAAAGGTGTGCTCGTGTGTCACAGTTTGTATGATTTTGGCCTTTGCAAAATGCCACTTTCTGAAAAACGTGAAGAGCTATTCCTATGGTTAATTTACGGTTAAGACTAACAATTCTCTCAGCTATGACCCTTTTGTAAAGCCTACGTTCTGGCATTCTCCAATCGGTGCGTACAAGAGAGGAAGAAAGAGTTATCATTTCTTTGAGACTTCCTAGTGGGAAATTGAGTTAGGCCAGTGAAGAGGAGGAATTTTATTTGAGAAGATACCAAGTATTATGTGAGACTACTAAATGGTCGGAGATTTTGACATTTTCCGTGAAAGTAAATGTTCAAGAGTGGCAAAGCTATTACAGCCGTGAAAAGATTATGAAAAGGCAGGAAAATGGATGTGGTCTTTTGGTAGATTTTCATTCCATGACTCTGACAATATTAAGAAAACTTATTCTTAGAGACATATTTAATATTTATATATAATTGAGGTTAACAACTGATTGATTTCTTTATGTGTAGAGAATGCATACAAATGGATTTAGACAATTAAGGTTCAAGTGCAGGAATGGACAAAGAACGCGAACAGACAGTTCACCAAAGAAAAAAATGTGTAATTAGCAAACCAACTTGAGAAGATTACAACTTCAGTTATCAGGCATTCAGAATAAACATTATGTAACGTTATATATTTATTGAATTTGAAAAATTTAGTAAGATAGAGCTAAGAGCCCAAAGCTATCACATTCATATGCAGATCATGGCTTATATCCCCTTTTAGAAAGCATTCAGAAAATTTCAAGAACTAGAATAATCATCTTGTTTCCTAATTCAGCAGTGTCTCCTCTCACGTTTATCTTAAGTACATAGCCCTTCAGAAAAGGAAAACTATGCACATAAAGTGTTCCACATTATTTATACTGGTGAAAAATGTAAAATGCCTAAATTTCCACCGATGGAGGAATAATTAATCGAATTATACTGTGTCCATTCGTTTAAAAGATTGGGCAGCCTTTCAAATTTTCAAAAAAACTTTACATATACAGTCATTATAACCTAATAAAAATTGTGAGCATTGGAAATGACAAGAATTGCAGACATTAAAAACAGTTATTATTGGGGCGCCTGGGTGGCTCAGTTGGTTAAGCATCTGACTTTGGCACAGGGCATGATCTCACAGTTTGTGGGTTTGAGCCCCACGCCAGGCTCTGTGCTGACAGCTTGGAGCCTGGAGCCTGCTTCGGATTCTGTGTCTCCCTCCCTCTGCCCCTCCCCCCACTTGCACTCTGTCTCTGTCTCTCAAAAATGAATAAATGTTTAAAAATTTTTTAATAAAAAGTCACTATTTTATTAAGTTGATAAATTATTTGTGATATGTTTGATATTGACTTAATTTTTAAATGACTCTAATGAAGAAAGTCTAGGGAAAGAAAGTTTTCTTAAGCTTTATGTATATCAATCGATAATGCAATGAAAAATTGCGTTGAATTTGAGTTGAATGTTATTCAACATGTTATTGAATGTTAGCAACATGATTTTATTTGTACAGGTGTTAATGAAACTCCAAAACAGCCAGTTTGCTTAGCAGGTTAGCTTTCAAACACTGAATTCATATTTCCTAATATGAATCTTTATTCCAAAAGTTATTGGGAAATCTTGTGCTAAGTATGATGAATCTGCAAAGAAGCAAAATTATTTTGTTAAAAATAACCATCATGGCATTTACATTTTAAAGCATCTGGTTTAAAATGAGAAATTTTTATTTTACTTATACCTTAAAGATACAACATTTAGAACAACTCTTGGAAAGTATCACCGAGACGGAAAACAAAATACAGATTTTGAACAACTGGATGGAGGCGCAAGAGGAGAGACTGAAAACTTTACAAAAACCTGGAAGTGTGATCTCCGTGCACAGGATGCTTCTGGATTGTCAGGTGAGAAGGCACACGGCGCCTGTCCACACGGCGTGGCCAGGCTGTTCCGTCGCTGCTTCGGCACCAAGGAGGAGGGCAAGTGGCTGCACTTTCGAGGGACCCCTCCAGACCCCCAGGTACTTACTTCATTATGCAAAGGAGATAATAATCATCCATGGGTTTTACAAAATTACAAAATGCAATTTTTTGTGTGTGTGAGAAGCAGAAGAAGGTATCTTCAGTTATTGTTCCTAAGACTTGAATGTGGCTCCTCAAAGAAAATGCTCAAAGGGAATTTTTATTTCATGTTTCCCAGTTTTTTATTAATTCACCCAATACTTATGCAATTACTCTAAGGTTTCCATTAGTTTTAGTATTTCATTCTGCGTCTTCAGAGGAAAATGATTTTCTTTTACCTTCTGTGTAATATGTTCCGAAAGGACCAGTTATCCCTTGGAACTACAGTCTAAATCACAGTTGAGCTTAAGGATATTGGCCTGGCCCCCTTTTGTTCAGTTGTCATTTGCCAGGTCACTTAGTCTCACCCACACATACATTAATCCTCCGTAAGTACTGCCCTGATTGTGTCACTGCCTATTGAAGACACTTCAGCTGCCCTTGTAGCTGCAGACGTTTGCTGCTTCTGGACCTACTGCCTGAGGACACAGGCTCCTCCCTGCTGGGGTGGGAAGGTCAGGTCACACCCCAGTTGTCCTGAGAAGGTTAATCATCCTGGACATGAGATGTGAGCAGCAACACCATTATAAGAGATCTGTGCAAGTGGTCATATCCTGCTTCTAACTACCCACTAGCCATTCCATTTAGAATTCTTACAGCAGCCTTAGATTCAACGTAACCTTCACGGGAAGCCTACGCTCCACAGGTCCGTGCCATGCCACCCCCCACAGGCCACCCTGGTTTCACTTGAGTTCTAAACTGTCCACGGCCTGGGCTATCATTGCTAGTTTCCAGATGAGAAAATACAGGCTTGGAGGTTTGATGACTTAGTGTCAGGTGAGACAGCCAGTATGGGACAGACATGGCATGGGGACTGGATCTCCTGGACTCGTTCTACTGTACCATGATGATGAGGACTTATTACCTAGACTATTCTAAAATCTAGGGGTGCCTGGGTGGCTCAGTCGGTTGAGCATCCGACTTTGGCTCGGGTCATGATCTCGTGGTTTGTGGGTTCGAGCCCCGCGTCGGGCTCTGTGCTGACAGCACAGGACCTGGAGCCTGCTTCGGATTGTGTGTCTCCTTCTCTCTGTGCGCCTCCCCTGCTTGCGCTCTGTCTCTCTATCAAAAATACATATTAAATTTTTTTACTCTAGATACATGTAATAATTAAACTTATCATAAAAATTCATACTGTAGTAAGTGCAAAAATGGAATCAAATGTATTATTAAAATGTCTTTGATGTGATGTTATTTAATTACATATTGTAATGCCATTTTTACTCGAAAAGGCCAAACTCCTGTCTCTTACTTACACCTTATTGTTCCATAATGTTGTGCATATGCAAACTTTTTCCTCTTGCCCTTCCAGGATATAGAAAATCAACTGGCAAGTAAATCCAAGGCCCTTGATGAGTTGAGACAATGTTACCTGACTTCGGAGAGTGGGACCATGCCATTGTTAGAAGACACAGCATCCAGAATTGATGGGTTATTTCAAAAGAGAAGCAGTGTTATCAGCCAGGTACTAGAACTCATTTCATTTGAAGTACACTATTTCTCCTCATATAGCCTTCTTTCATCTTTTTGTTGATGTGTTTAGTCACGGAAACTCACTCCATATCAAAAACTGAAGAGTTGCTTAGAGAAATACTGAAGTGAAATAGAGAAAGGCATTTCAAATCCCCCTTTTTTTTTTTTTTTTTTTTTTTGGCACCGGATGGAGGTGTAGCCACCAATTCCAACACCATTGGCAAGCTAGAAATCCACTTGGTTATCTTTGTTTTGTCTAACGTACTCACAGACAAAAATGTCTCCACCCCCCGCCCCAACAGAGCATCTGGCACTGTTTCCTGGGCAGATATACAGGGGCAGCTATGAGAAAGCACATCCAGGGAGGTGCCTTGGGCAGGGAATGATCCCGTCTCTTGTAACCTCTATTAAGCTAGAAGCATGGTCAGCATATGGAGAATTCCAGAGGTGAGGAGAACACAGTTTGCGGGGAAGAGAAAGTAAAGAGGAGGAGTGTGGAAGATGTCTGGTCAGCTTAGAAAAGATATGTTAAAGTCTGCCTTTACCCCTTCCAGGAGTAGAGCACCAAAAGAGAAAAGGCAGGCATCTCTACATACTGCAACCTTGTTGGCTCCTCACAAATGGAGGGAGAAAATTAAGTACTAGCCAATTGTAGGTGTGTCCATATTTCCCAAAAGTCCTTATTGTGGATTATTTGTCATCTACTAAAATCTACTTTTGACTATTTGTTCCAAGAGGGAATTGGGAATAACCTGTATAAATGAAATTCATTGGTGACCCTCGGCCTCATTTTTCCCCCAGAACTCGGGCAGGAAAGATAGAGATGAGCTTACCATATCTTGTGTGAGTCATTTGTTGAACATATCTTCTGGGAGTCACTATGTTCACTGCCAACAGTACAAAGATAAACGAGAAAATAAATGGATCCTACCGTCAAAGGGCTTGCAGACCACCAGAGAAAACATACTTGAATAGATAATCACAACACAGTGATTTTTTTTAATGTTTATTTTTTGAGAGAGTGTAAGTGAAGGAGGTGCAGAGAGAGGGGGGACAGAGGATCTGAAACGAGATCGGTGCTGACAGCAGAGAGCCCAATCGGGGGCTCAAACTCACAAACCATGAGATCATGACCTGAGCTGAAGTTGGACCCTCAACCAACTGAGCCACCCAAGCACCCCACCACACAGTGAATTATGATAAAAATGTTGGGATAGAGAAGATTGAGATAATGCAAGTAAAAACATGCAGATAGTACTAATGTAAAAGATAGACATCTAGATAAATGGAATAGAATTAAGAGTCCAGAAATAAACCCTCACATTATAATCAACTAATTTTTAGACTAGGATGCCAAGACAAATCCAGGGTGGGAGGCGGGGGGGGATAGTCTTCTCCAAAACCGGTACTAGAACAGCTGTATGTCCACATTCAAAAGAATGAAGTTAGACCCCACCTTCACACCGTATATAAAAATTAAATGGATCAAAGATGTAAACGCTAAAACTACAGAACTCTTAGAAGAAAACAGAGGCAGAAATCTTCCTGACTGGATTAGGCAATAGTTTCTTAGATATGACAACAAAAGCACAAGAAAAAACTGGATTTCATCAACACTAAACACTTTTGTGTTTCAAAGGATATCATCAACAAAGTGAAATGACAAACCACAGAATGAACGAAAATATTTACATACTTAGGGGCTTGTGTCTACAGTATATAAAGGACATAACCAAAGGGAAAACATGAGCAAGTGATCTGAATAGATATTTCTCTAAAGAAGGTATGAATGGTCAATAAGTACATGAAAAGATGCCCAGTATCATTAATAAAGGAAATATAATTCAAAACTTCAATGAAATACTCCATACCCACCTCCGTAGTGATAATAATAAGGCAGAAAATAACAAATGTTAGCAAGGATATGGAGACCTTGAAACTGTCATACATACACTGCCAGCGAATGCAAAATGGAGCAGCTGCTTTGGAAAAGAGTGTGGTAAGTCCTAAAATATTTAAACATAGAGTTATCTTAGGACTCAACAACTTTACTCGTAAGTACCCAAGAGAAAGGAGAACATGTGTCCACACCAAAAACTTACACAATAATGTTCACAGCAGGGTGATTCATAATAGCCAAAAAGTAGAAACAATCCCAACATCCCTCGGTTTATAAATGGATAGGTAAATGGTATATCAAGGGGTGCCTGTGTGGCTCAGTCTCTTGAGAGTCCAACTCTTGGTCTCAGCTCCGGTCTCAAACTCAGGGTTGTGAGTTCAAGCCCTGTATTGGGCACCACGCTGGGTGTGGAGCCTACTCAGATAGATAGATAGATAGATAGATAGATAGATAGATAGATAGATAGATAGTATTTCCGTGCAACGGGATATTATTCAGCCATAAGAAAGAATGAGGTACTGATACTTGCTACAACACTGATGGTCTTGAAAACATCACGCTAAGTGAAAGAAGGCAGTTGCCAAAGAACCACATGTTGTATGATTCCATTTATATGAAACGTCCTTAATAGGCAAATTCTTTAAAGACGAAAGGTAGACTTTGGCTGAGAAAGGGTTAGAGAAGAATGAGGAGTGACTGCTAGTGGGTATGGGGTTTCTTTTCATGGTGATGCAAATGTCCTAACACTGATTTTGGTGACTTGACTTCAAATAGGTGAATTGTATGGACTGTGAGTTATATCTCAATAAACCTACTTATTTTTTTTATTTTTTAAAGTTATCTCTAGCCCCAACTTGGGGCTCCAACTCATGACCCCAAGATGAGAGTCACATGTTGTACCGACTAAGCCAGCCAGGTGCTCCAAAGCTTTTTTTTTTTTTTTTTTTTAATGTAGAAAACACAAAACTTACATCATCCTTCCATAAGTTCTCCAGAGTTAGTAGAGCCTCGTCTTTAAAAACAAGGGCTTAAAAACAAAACAAAACAAAACAAAAACAAAACAAAAAAAAATAAAAAATAAAAACAAGGGCTTTAAGTCTCTGCCTAAAGAAAAATCTTAGCAGCCCCATTTTGTATCTCCGTCCTAGGGCACGTGCTTAACCTCGTTAAGCCTCAATTTCCTGGTCTATGAAATAGGGATGATAATACCTACGTCTTTCTACATTTGTAGCAATGCCTATATGACACTCAGTGCTGCCCTACTGGCTGATTGTACTTTTAACATTCTGAAAATGTTCCTTCTTGTTTCTAGCGTAGTGAATTTTGCTTAATGGTTTTCTTATCCTTTCCCCCAAACCACATGTGCCATTTCTTTTCCCTGAAGCTGTAATATTCTAAGGGTTGCCCTTAAGTGCACCAGAAGTTGCACCAACTTTGTATGTGGGAGCCATGAAGTCCTTGGACCATGACAATGCCTTATGCAGCCATGTGCCTATAGGCACCTGTGTGTCAGGATCATCCCTGCCACCCAGATAGGCCCCAAGCTTCCAAAAGGTACATCTAGGGGCGCCTGGGTGGCTTAGTCAGTTGAGTGTCCGACTTCAGCTCAGGTCATGATCTCACAGTTCATGGGTTCGAGCCCCACGTTGGGCTCTGTGCTGACGGCTTCGAGCCTGGAGCCTGCTTCAGATTCTGTGTCTCCCCCTGTCTCTGCCCCTCCCCTGCTTGCATTCTCTCTCTCTCTCTCTCTCTCAAAAATAAACAAAATATGAAAAATAAAAGAAAAAAAATAAAAGGCACATCTATAAGGAGTTCCCGTCCTGCCTCCTTTTTTCCCTTACTGTCTTTTATTCTTTCTTAATGGTGGATTGTTTTTCAGCCCATATAAAGACATATGGGCTATGCAGTTGCCAGTGTGAGACTGACGTTTTGGCATCCCAGGTTGTTTTTTATCCATCTCTATTGGGCAGGGTTTGAGGCAGCTCCCTGTAGATGTTAAGCAGAGAACAGAGGGCCTGAATACAGGCCTGTACAGTTACATCCAAAACTTGACATCACATCATAAGTAAAGCTGGGCCAACATACTGATCACACTCCATTTATACTCAGATCCTTATTTTAAATTGAGATGATACCATAAACTTACCTTTTGAGTGTATAACCCAATGGTTTTTAGTATATTCACAGAGATACACAACCATCGCTACTCTCTAATTCCGGGACATTTTTGTCAACTCAAAAAGAAACGCCCATTACTCACTTTTCATTCTTCCCTACCTTTCATCCCTGGAAGCACTAATCTACTTGCTATCTCTTATGTATATGCTGTTCTGGACACTTCATACGCGTGGAATTATACGACGTGGTCTTATCTGTCTGTTTTAGCATGTTTCCAACATCAATATTATAGTATGTTTCAGAACTTTATGGATGAATAGTATTCCACAGTTTATTCGTTGATGGACATTGGGGTTGTTTCCACTTTAAAAAAAAATTTTTTTTTAATGTTTTACCTATTTTTGAGGGAGGGAGAGAGAGAATGAGAATGAGAATGAGCGGAGGAGGGGCAGAGAGAGAGGGAGACACAGAATCCAAAAGACTCCAGGCTCTGAGCTATCAGCGCAGAGCCCGAGGCAAGGCTCGAACTCATGAACCTCGAGATCATGACCTGAGCTGAAGTCGGACGCTTAACTGACTGAGCCACCCAGGCGCCCCAGGATTGTTTCCACTTTTAAGCTATTATGAATCTGCTGCTATGAACATTTGTGTACAGATTTTTATATGAGCATATGCTTCCATTTCTCTGGGGTATATACCTAAGAGTGGAATTAGTGGGTCATATGGTAACTCTATACTTAACTTTTGTGGAACTGCCAAACTGTTTTCTACAGAGGCTGTACGGTTTTATGTTTCCACCAGCAATATATGAACGTTCCAGTTTTTCCACAGTCTTGCCAACACTGATTATTACCCAACTTGGATTTATAGACATCTTAGTGGATGTGAAATGGCATCTCATTGTCGTATAGATTTATGTTTCTCTAAGGACTGTGGATGTTCTTTAGTAGATATCTAATCCTTCGCCCAATTTAATCCTTTGGTTATTTGTCTTTTTACTGTTGAGTTGTAAATGTTCTTTATGCAACATATAAAAATATACATACTTACATATTCGCAATTGTATCTGAGATCATCTCATTTCCTCCTACTTTCACTTGCTCATCATTTTGACCGAGCACATTCCTCTCCAATTTATGCGGACTCAGGTGCCAGTAACAGTAATTTGACAATTACAGTGCTTTACAGTTTGCAGAATATTTCCACAGACACTATTTTATTTATGTTTCTATTTACTGTATCTGTTTTGTGAGTAGGGAAATCGACTCAAGGGTTCAATAACTTGCCCATGATCAGAAAGCTAATTAGGTGTTGCTGAAATATGTACTCACAGATTCTGTTCCTCATCCATTATTCCCTCCTTCGGCTGTCTCCCGGTAGGCTGAACTCTGTCCCTGCTGGTCCCTCTGGCTTCAGATCTCGTTTTCATTCACCTGTTTTATTTTTATTATTTTTTTTTCATTTTTTTTCAACTTTTTTTTTTTATTTATTTTTGGGACAGAGAGAGACAGAGCATGAACAGGGGAGGGGCAGAGAGAGAGGGAGACACAGAATCGGAAACAGGCTCCAGGCTCTGAGCCATCAGCCCAGAGCCCGACGCGGGGCTCGAACTCACAGACCGCGAGATCGTGACCTGGCTGAAGTCGGACGCTTAACCGACTGCGCCACCCAGGCGCCCCGCATTCACCTGTTTTAAAACTCAGTCTTCTCTGATCTTTTTTGTTTATTGACTACTCTTCCCACCTCAGTTAATCACTGAAGCTCTCCCAATACCCTCTCTTTTTTAAGTTTATTTATTTTGAAAGAGAGAGAGAGACCAAGAGAGAGTGAGTGGGGGGAGGGGCAGAGAAAGGGAGAGACAGAATCCCAAGCAGGCTTTATGCTGATAGACGGCTCGAACTCAACAAACCCTGAGATCAGGACCTGAGCCGAGATCAAGCCACCCAGGAGCCCCTTCCCCCATACTCACAAGCTGAAATGCCTAAATTAGATACCATGGTAGAATCCTTAGAAGGGAACAAAATGATGAGGGAGCCTCTTCTCAATGAGTTTCTAAATATCTTTGCACTTTTCACATAGGTCAACGAGCTCAAGACCTCCATGCAGTCTGTTTTGCAGGAGTGGAAGATTTACGAAAGCCTGTATGACGAGGTGGCGACGATGACAATCCGATTCTGGTACTGCATGGAGCACAGCAAGCCTGGGCTTTTGTCATTAGAGGCCTTAGGATGCCAGGTGCAGAACCTCCAGGTAAATTTAGCAGATCGTGGCACGGTGCTGCCTGGTTGGCAGAAGACCTCCGGTGGAGGCAGGTGCGGAAATGGACACAGCTGCCTTTGTGCTGTCCACAGAGAAGCGCAAAACAGCGTCTTAAATAGCAGCATCAAAAGGAGGACATGGAATTCCAAAATGAGCCAGATGAGCGGCTCCAAAGTTTACATTGGATTTTTCTCTATTATTCATGTCCATATTATCTCACAGTTTAAAAGTTTGGTCTTTTGGGGGGTGTGTGTTGGCATGTTTTTGTTTTTTTTTTTAAGTTTATTTATTTATTTGGAGACAGAGAGAGCGTGAGGGAGGTAGAGGCAGAGAGAGGGGAGACAGCGAATCCCAAGCAGGCCCCATGCTGTCAGCGCAGCGCCCAGTGCAAGGCTCAAACTCGCAAACCATGAGATCGTGACCTGAGCCGAAATCAAGGGTCGGGCGCGTAACCGACTGAGCCACCCAGGCTCCCCATGTTAGCATACTTTTTAATGTTGTAGCCTCAGATGAAAGGATGCCTCCTCAGTGGGTTTCCTCTTCACATTTCTAGTAATTTTCCCCAGTCCTATTAAGTCCTGAGCGTTAATATTATTGTGATGTAGCAGACGTGCTGAAAAGCAGCTGCCTCCCTTGGATGTGGCCAGGCCATTCTGAAGTGAATGTTTCTGCTCTGCTCTTCTCAGTCTCTTCAAGATGAAGCTGAGAGCAGTGAAGCAAGCTGGGAGAAACTGCAGGAGGTGATTCGAAAACTCAAAGATCGCTGCCCCTCGGTCGCTGAAATAATCGAAGAGAAATGCCAAAATACTCATGCCAGGTATGCTTTAAGATACAGATGGGATAACAGAGGAGATAGATTTCCTTATCTCAGTACACGTGGTGAATGAAGTGACATCAGCTTTGTTTGTATAAGTACCGCGGGCTGATTGCGCCACTGGAGTTGCAAAGCGACGTCAGCTTTGTAAAGCTTCGGCATCTGAGATAATCTGGTTTTGTGCTACTGTGGTTCTTTTGCTTTGAAGCATCTCGTTTACGTAAGACTTGATTTTCTGAAGGCGATTACTTCCCTCGTAGCCTGGGTAGCCGCTTTCAGAGGGTATAGACCAACTGCCCAGTGCGATCCTCACGGATACCAAACTCCCAGGCTGAGACAGAGTACGGGGTGCTCAGAAGGACAATGTGTTTCACTGGAAACCTAAGATGGAAGAAAGGGGATGTTATTATCCCTCTTGAGGGGACGTGATTTGTGAGATTGGAAGGAATTCTTTGATGAACTGCTTATGGTGGAAAGCTCCTTCTAAGGAGGGTGGCCCTGGTTAATTGCAAGCCTTTAATTTTGCCGAATGGGATATGAAATTCAGCGTGAAGAGAATTTGATTTTTAAGCCAGCGATGAAGAGATTAAGCTACCCTCAGTGTCCTCCACCCTTCCTCCATGTAGATTCAGCCTCTCTGGTCAAATCCACTTTGGACAAGCGTTGTGAACAAGAGGCATCAAATTGGCATACGCTGCGGTGACATCCTCAGCTCATGATCCAGTCCTTATTGGAAGAAGGGAAGGAGGGGGAGTAAGGAGCAGAGACATGTCTGTGATGCCACTTACAGTATTGGGCCCGCCCTCAAAACATGGCGGTGCAGTTTGCTATTGAAGGGATTCAGTTGTCGCTGCTACACGTACACGTTCAATTGTCGCCACAAGAATGTATCAGAAGGCTTGTTGAAAAAGGTTGAAGAAGACAGCACCAAGATGCTAACAGTAGTTATCTATAGATCAATGAGATGCCAGGGGGTGTTTTTGGTTTTTGTTTTTTTATAACCTTCTCTTTATAGATAGGTAGGCAAGGAGGTAGGTAGGAAGGTGAGGTATGATGTAGGTACAGATATAGGGGTAGATAGATTTAAACATACGTGGTTGGTGGGATTTTGTTTTCTTTCATGATGAGTGCACGTTCTATTATAATTGGGGAAAATACTGTTTAGGAAAAGCATTATTCTGGTAAGATTTTGAAATGCATAAAAATAAAGCAACTGTGCCATTTTTCACCTTTTCCATCTATTGAGCAGAGTCAAGGCTATCATGAAACAAGCATTCTTATGTGTTTCAGGTAAAATGTAAATATTATAATGCTTCCAGAAAGCTAGTTTGACCATATATATAGCTATAACCTTAAAAATGTTTACACGTTCTTGTTCTTTGACCAAATTAATTCTCTCAGAAATCTAGTGTAAGACCAATATCTTGACATGTGGGAAAAGGTCTTTGGAACAAAGTTGTATCTGAGCATTAGATTTGAAAGCACAAATTAAAAATTATTTCAATACCCATACTAAACTTGAGTTTGGTAATTAAAAAACAGACCACTTAAAGCCTGTTGTGTACAGCCATTTAAAATTAGACTGACTTAACAAATAAAATTAGACTGATTTTTTTTATTAATAATGGGAAATGTTTAAGTCACATGGGAAAGAGAGGTTATTCAGTCTGTATATGGAATAAAAACAATTTCCTCTATTTTACTGTTATATAAGGAACATGTTGCTTTTATCATTAGAAAATAAACTTGGCGGGGCGCCCGGGTGGCGCAGTCGGTTAAGCGTCCGACTTCAGCCAGGTCACGATCTCACGGTCCGTGAGTTCGAGCCCCGCGTCGGGCTCTGGGCTGATGGCTCAGAGCCTGGAGCCTGTTTCCGATTCTGTGTCTCCCTCTCTCTCTGCCCCTCCCCCGTTCATGCTCTGTCTCTCTCTGTCCCAAAAATAAATAAACATTGGAAAAAAAAAATTTAAAAAAAAGAAAATAAACTTGGCATAAACTCAATTTAAATAAGGCCCATTTAAAGACCCCCCCCCCATGTAAACCCCTCCCATGTGGAGAAGTTTTCATCAATTTCTCTACCTTTGCCTAACAGACATTCGTAATACAATAGATCATGCCAATCACAAATTTGGTAGTTTTTGTTGATAATTATAAAGTCAAGTAAATATCTTAATATGGACTGCTGTTTTTGTTTATATAATGGTGATACGTTAGTTAAAAAAGGCATTTGTGCCTTAACAACCCATCTGCTCTTGACTTACCGGTAGAATGTGTGCAGTGTGCTTTTGCTGCAAAGGGAAGGATGGTATGAGGGCCCTTTTGTTCATGTTGTTCTGACAGGTGGACCCAGGTAAACCAAGACATTGCAGAGCAGTTGCAGAAGGCCCAGAGTCTGTTGCAGCTCTGGAAGACCCATAACAGTGCTCACACCGAAGCTGCAGCAAGGCTGGAGCAGCAGGAAGCAAAGTACCAACAGCTCGAAAACATCAACATGTCTGGAAACAACCTGGCAGAGATCCTGACCCGGGCCCTGCAGGATGTAAAGGTGGTTGCCAAGCCCATTGGGAAAACGAAGGCCAAGACAGCCCAACAGAGAGGGCCATGACCCAGGGACTAGACAGACCACAGGGACAAAGAAGTGGGTCAGGACAGGTGCATGAGCAGGCCATGTAGGACGTGAACATGCTGTGATGTGCAGGGTTGGGAGGGTCAAGTGGTGACTCAGAAGCAAAGTCTAGGCAACAGGTAGCTGGGTCAAGGGTCCTTGTTCCAAGTTTCCCCTTTCATTTTAGCAGGTAAAACTCTAAAGCAAAAGCCTCATACAAGGTCTCTCAAATAAAGGCAAAAGTGTCTCAACTGAGTATGATCATCTAAGAATAATAGATGTTGAATCCCTTGCTTTAGAAATAATCATGGATTCATGCCATGTTAATGTGGCTTTTCTATGGGTATGATCATTTTTAGACTATATTTAAGTGTTGTATAATTTCCTCTGTAATCTTGTCCTATTATAATGAGTGCCCAGAAAGTGAATACTCTCTAGTTTTAAACTGGGTGACCAGATACATTCTGTAGCTTCTGAATCCAAAGGTCAAATAAAAAAATATGAATCCACTTAGTGCAACAAATGTGATCTGTATTTCTGATCAACTTCTACCTAATTTGTTGTTTCAACAAATTTTGCATACACCACATTTATAGAGTAGCCCTAACATCAGCTTGATTAATGAGGTTCTATGGTTTCTGCAAATGAATCCGTTTATGTCATAAAGTCTCAGACAGAGGACAGAGTTGCATTGATTCTTAAAATGGCCCTAAATGGATCGTTATAGTGTTTGATGATTAGAAACATAAAACATAGGACTCTACCCGGGTGGTCTTCAGTTTCTGCACATTGGAAGCCCCAACTCTGTTGATTAGTTGTCAGTTTTAGGTCGGAAATGACATATTTCAGAGGAGCGCCAGTGATGTGCGTCATATAACGAAAGCTTAGCTTTTTCAGCTGTTTGAAATAAACAATGACAAAAAGCCACGCCCACAATTTTAGGGCAGAAATTCTCCTAGATGTTGATGGAGTCCCAGAGATAGGAATTTATGTTGTGACACGAGGAGGAAATGTTTTCTGATCACTGTTGCTTCTCCAGGAACTGCAGGATGACGTACAGAAGACGAAAGAAGCCTTTCTCCAGAATTCTGCTCTCCTGGATCGACTTCCACAGCTCACAGAGTCCAGTACCTACGTGCCCCTCTCTACACAACTGCACTCCCTCCAGAGGGTTTCTTACTTGGAAAAGATGCTGCTTGTGAAAGCTAATGAATTTGAGGTTCATGTCCTTTTTCCATTCAACTTGTAGTCTTGGACATTTGCAAGCTACCCTCAATTCCTTATATCTGATGAAGTACTAGTTATTAGTACTTTCCGGGCTGCTCCTCGGGGAAACTACACAATCAAGATGCCCTGAACATAGATTCCCTGATGTGACTGTTCAATTAAGTGAGCAATGGGCAGATCTTAAGCAAGCATCTCTTCTTCATTGAACATGTTGGCTTAAGAAGTAGGATATTATATTCCTTATTCTGTTCAGATCTCACAGTTATTTGGGTCTCCAAGTGGGGTACTTGAGTCCTAGAAGTAGCTGCTTAAACCAGAGCCATTTGTTGTATTCTTTATTCATTTTTTGAAAAGCCTTTAGTGCCTGAGCTGTCAAAAACCTGCATAAAAGGCCATGGAGCTCCAATGTCCCTTTTCAATATCAATAGCAACACTGAGGGAGCAGAGTGCTCACTAACCCTCCTCTATATGCCCCCTCCAGAGGGTAATCCATTCATCCCTGAAGGCTCAGTGCTTTGCCAGAGGCACAAAATAAAAAAACCAGGAGTCTTCTGAATATTCACCTCTGAATAGTCAAGATAATAATGAGCTGCTGGGCATCGAAAACACCTTGAGCTTTTATCAGCTCCCAAGACTATGTTTCATTTTGTTGTGTATGCACATGAAAATTATTTCTAATGAAAATCTCTCTTGTTCTAGTTTGTCCTGTCGCAGTTCAAGGATTTTGGGGAACGGCTGGAATCTTTAAAAGGTCTCATTACGCATGAAGAAGAGCATTTGGATAAACTCTACCATCAAGAAAAAGAAGAAAATCCTGAGTTATTCCTGGTATTGCCAATGTTTGTGTTTCCTTAGGGCTTAGACTCACCATAGGATAAAAAGATAAGCTAATAACTATTAAGTTACAGAATCTGTTGATGTCTTCACTCTTGAGGATGGTCATTTAAAAAAAAAAAAGTTGACGTATTCTGAGAGAGACAGAGCGTGCAAGAGGGCAGGAGCCAAGAGAGAGGGAGAGAGAGAGAGAATCTCAAGCCGGCTCCACACTCCCAATGCAGAGCCTGATGCAGAGCTCGAATCTATATGAAATCACGACCTGAGCCAAAATCAAGAGGTGGACGTTTAACTGACTGAGCCACCCAGGTGCCCCTTGAGCATGGTCATATATATGCCATTCATTCTTGCCTTATTTTCCATAAGGTCTAGAAAAGTATGACAACATAGAGATCTATTTTAGTAATATGCCACAGTAAATTTAGTAGATTTAAAAGTTTTTGACGTCTTTACTAATTAGCTTCAGTGAACTAGAATAATCTAGGCATTGGCTGTTGTGATTAATTGAATTTTTCTGGTTCCCTAAAGGTCAAAAATAAAATACCCTATTACATTAATTCTGTATTTTTTTCTTTATTACCTTAGTAAGTTTAGTATAAGTAACAACGAATGGAAGAATTAAAGAATTCTGGGTCGTACAAACTCCTAAGGACTGATATCCATAACCTAGATCAAGAGTCAGCCAACTATGGCACACTATCCAAATCCCATCTTCCACCAGTTTGTGTAAACTGTTACTGGCACACAGTCATGCCCTTTGATTTATTAATTGTGGGAATTTTCATGCTGCAGCGGCAGAGGTGAATAATTATGACAGAGATCATACAGCCCATGAAAGCTAAATTATTCATGAGCTGGCCCTTTACAGAAAAAGTTTGCTGACCCTGACCTAGATTGCGATGGCAGAGTTCTGTAGTGATAGCACGGATATTGTCGAGGATGTTTGCTTAAAATACCATTGACCTAGATGCTGTCCCTGGAATATTTTAAAAATAAAATTTTGATGCGTTTTCTTTCACGTGATTTCATGTTCTTTCAAAATATAGATGTTTAAGGACCATGCTTTACTAGGGTCATTTTAAGGACTAAATTTTCATTGGCTTTGTGATCTGTTGAAGGTCAAGTTGGCAGAATACATAGGACTTTTGAAGTCCAAAATGGGTCCTGTAAAAAAAAAAAAAGACAAAACTCCTATCTCATTTCCATCTCCCTCAAAGGCAAAATCTGAGATCATTTTCTATTTCCCGGGCCATTGTGGTGCTGACCGTGTGTGCACTTATTCTGTGTGCACTTATTCTAGAAAAGCCACAGGATTAGGAGCCCAGGGTTTAGGTCCAAGTCTAATACTAACTGGCTGTTTGATCATGGGTAAGTCATCTACCTATTGAGGTTCCCAGTTTTCCCTCATTTTTGAGATAAGGATGGTCTGCAGGATCTCTGAGTCCTTTTCATCTTCCAGATATCTTATTGGCCTCCAGAAACCTGAAATTTAATTTTTTTAATAGAACCATGTGCTGGCACTGACAGCCCAGTCACCTGATGTGGAACATTTGAATGAAGTAAGCCTCAAACTCCCCCTTAGTGACATAGCCATAAAGACGTTACAAAATGTGAACCGACAATGGATTCGGGCCACGGCAACAGCCCTGGAACGCTGCAGGTCAGAGCATCCCACCTCTTTCATTCTGTTTCAGTTAAGCTAAAATTATTGACTTGAGCTCAGTAATGTCATTGTTTTATGGTTCTGTTTTGTCTGTGTATAAACCTTTGTAGTGAGCTTCAGGCAACAGGATTGAATGAAAAGTTTCTTTATTGCTGTGAAAAATGGGTCCAGCTTCTGGAGAAGACGGAAGAGACACTCAAGGTGACTATGGCTGACAGCCTCCCAGCTCTCCTGGAACAGCAGAAAACATACGAGGTAAACCTGTGCTCTCCGCTGCTTTGTACATTCACCCTGGGGCAGGAGTCAAGGAAAGACACTCATTGCAATCTATTTAAATCGATCAGTCCCTAACAATCGAATATAGGACTTTAAGCAGATTCATTTGCCAATTGATTATTTGTAAAACTCTCACACATTTTATAAATTTCAACATTTTGTTTTAGTGCTCTATTTTATTAATGAGAGAACTAGATTTTCTGCAACAGGGGAAACTTCTAGCACAACTTTGCTTCCATAGGATGCAAACATACCAAGAGCAGGCTAAAATACTTCAACTCATCTTTGCATATTCACTGAATAATTCTCTAAAATATTGAATTGCATAATTATAATTGCAGCCTTAATAATTTGACAGAGGTTATTCCCTGTGCTTACACTGATGTGCATTCAGAAATACTCTTGATGGTATAGGCAAATACTGCATTTTGAAAGTGTGCATGATTAAGTCACTGTAATTTTTAATGTAAATGATTTAAGTCTTTATCGTTACATTAAGGTCCTCCAATGAAAATGAAGTTCATTGAACAACCAAAACAAAAAACCGTGAATGAGTGACCTCGATTAAATTACCAGCCCTCTTTCCGTCTTAGTTTCCTTATCTTTAAATGGGTGTGATAATAGTACTTAAGTCTGAAGGTTGAGGAATAAGTGAGACAATGCATGTTTTACACAGTGCCTCACAAATAGTAAATGCCCAATAAATGGGCTTTAGTTGTACTTGTTATTATGCCTGTTTGCTTCTGAGATTCTATTCATAGGTGATGGTGACATGATGGTTGAGCCTTTTTTGCAATGAGGCTCAAATAATTTGAAAATTCATCGTCTCCCATGTCCTCTGTGAGCTTAGATTTTAATAGGAAATAGAAGCTCCAGGTTCATAAAAAGAATCTACTGATATCTTCTATTTTAACTCATATGCAGATGTTAGAAGCTGAAGTTTCTATAAACCAGACAGTGGCTGATTCTTATGTCACCCAGTCCTTACAACTCTTGGACACCACAGAAATAGAGAAGAGGTAAGCTGTCTGGGGTTTATGATGGGTGTGTGTGTGTGTGTGTGTGTGTGAGGTCTGGCCTCCCACCACGTGAATCTTGACCACTTTGGTAACCTGCAGCCATGTCAGTTGATAGACCATCATGAGGCCAGTCTTCTGACTGTTTATTAGGATGGGGACTTGCTACGTGGCCGTTGAAATGTCAGTCGCACTTCTATGTATGATAGAAGGGTGGCATTAGCAAACATTACATTAGTGCTATGCGAATACCCACTCACCAAGTGGAGTTAACTAAGTTTTTGCTGCAAAGGATTCTTCTGTAGTGTTTTCCTCTCTGTCTGCAGCCTCATGACATTTTGCTGTTTGAAAAATAATTTTGGGGGCGCCTGGGTGCTCAGTGGGTTAAGCGTCCAATTCTTGATTTTGGCTCAGGTCATGATCTCACGGTCGTGAGATTGAGCCCCGTGTCAGGCTCTACCTGGGTGTGGAGACTGCTTAAGATTCTCGCTCTCCTTCTCCCTCTGCCCATCCCCCTTGCTGTCTCTCTCTCTGTCTCTCTCTGAAAAAATAAAAAATAATAACAATAATTCTTAAAGTGCTGCTCTTCCCAGCAGGTAGCTATAGCACATAGTTGTGAAAGAAGGGATTTCTCTCTCTGCTATGTACACGGTGTTGGCATCACTGGGCAGTGCCAGTCAGGCTGAGAAGAGCCCCTTACGCCAGGCTGGCGACATGAACCTGCTCACAGAGCTGGTACATATGGCAGACAGAGTCCTGAGATGGGCTAGCCAGTGTCCTGATTGGTATTGTTTTTCCTCCCCATTAACACCCATATACCTGAATTTTCTTTGAGCATAGCTAAGAAGTATAAAGTCCATTTCCTTCTAGCTCTGAAGTTATAACTTCAGCCCCATCCCAGGATGACAAACTAGATTTTGATCCGTGCAGCAAAGCACGGCTTTTCCGATAATATATAAAAGGGCTTACTTATCACGTGGTGGGTTATTATTTATCCGGAAAAGAACTCGTTGAGTAGTCGCAGAAAGCATCTTCTCTGTTGCTGAAATTTGTAAAGTACGGCGTGCAAGTAAGTAATCGAGAACGTTACACAGTACCTATTCATCATTTCCCATCGGTCCAGTATTCAGTTTTCCACACAGCATTTGGAATAACGCAAGTTAAAATAGCTTACGTTTGTTTAAAGGATGCAGTTTTTCCATGCTGGCAAAATACCAGGTCACATGCAGCTATCTCCCGCTAAATGCCTTTTGCCAACCCCACGCTGCCCCTGCCCCAACCCTAAATTTCCCAACACCTTTAAGTTGAAGAGTACACACGTTCTAAAAAGGTTTTCTCCCCCCCCAACCCCCCACCCCTGTAAATGATGCATATAAACAGCACATCTGAGCTTCTACGGTGCGTTGGGAGTTCTTTTTTCTACGTGTCGGTGACAAGATCCTCTAACCATTTGTTTCTCCCAAGACCGGAATTTGTTTCAAAGTTCACGAAACTGAAGGAGCGGTGGCAGAGTGCGGCCCAGAGCCTCCGGCAGAGGAAGAGCCACATCGATGGGCTGGTGGGGCGATGGCGGCACTTCACCACGGCCGCGGAGGATTTGCTCCGCTTCCTCGCCAACACCGGCGCCCTGCTGTCTGCCGCCAAGAGCCAGGATTGCCACAGCCTCCCCCAAACCAGGAGGCTGATCCGTGAGCTGAAGGTAATGCCGGCAGGGTAGCAGCGCGAGGACTACAGTGCGATCTTCGTTGGGAAGGTGTTCATTCACCTCAAGTTTTGTGGGTTTTTTTTTTTAATATATTGCGATTCAGGTGTGCTCTCTGTACTGGGAGGATCAGCTATCCAGGGTCACCGTGACCCTGTTCATCCTTGTCCCCGGCCTTGTGGCGTCCGAAACCCAATCTTACCCGTTCATCCAGAAATAGCGAGGCTCTCTCAGGCTGCGGGAGTAGGGATGGAGTTGGGGATGGGTGGGTAGAGTGGGGCAAGTCTCAGTGACAGATTCCTTCCACCCAAGGTTTAAGGCACCGACTGATGAATAACTTGACCACCAGTGCCATAATTTACAGTGGAACTCTTGCTTACTCTTGAAGGGCAAATTCATTTAGGCAACCAAGTTTTCTTTTTTTTTCCTCTCTCTTTTTTCTCTTTTTTTTTCTCTTTTTATTTTCCTCTTTTTTTTCTCTTTTTTTCTTTTTTCCTCTTTTTTTCTTTTTTCTCTTTTTTTCTTTTTTTCTCTTTTTTTCTCTTTTTTTTTTTTTTCCTGTTTCATATTAATTCCGGTGTTCCATGCAGTGTCATATTAGTTTGTATTAATTCCAGTTCACGCAGTGCTGAATATTAGTTTAGGCACGGTAGTAGGAGCTTGCATATCCCATATCAACTCAACTCATCAGCAGGTGTGTGTCTTGGGCAACTAACTTTCAGTACGCAGAGGTTGCTGACGACAGTAGGCTGCCAGTGGTTAAGTAGGACAGTCCCAAAACATGTTCAGTTGCTATGAACCACTCTGCCTGTAACGCGAGGGCGGCTAGCAATAACACCACCACCAGCCCCAAAATCTGTACTCTCTTCATTCATTTATCCAGTTATCAGGCACCAATTGTTTATATCTGCTCTGTGCCCGGCACTGTTTTAAATGCTGGGCATGTGCTATGGGCAAAGAGAAGAGCCTTGCTCTCAGGCAGGCAAGCAGACAAATTAATAAACAAGGAAATGCTAATTCATCTGATTGGTGGTGGGAAGTCGGACAAATCAATAAATAAGAAGATAATCAGATTGCAATAAGGCATATGTCGACAACTAAAACAAAAACAGGACCAGTAACGAAGGGGCTGGTGGCCTCTTTCCACTGAGTGACCTCTGGGAATATGACATGTAAACTGAAACCTGAATGACGAGAAGGAGCCAGCCATGCAAAAATCTGGGGAAGAACCTTTCAGACAGAAGGAATGTCTTACCCCAAAGTCCGCAAGATGGGAACAAACTTGACAGGGCAGAGGAACAGGAAGAAGGCCAGTGTGAGCGGAGTATAACCAGTAAGGCAGCAGTGGTAGGGAGTGAATTTGAGAGGCAAGTAGGGAGGAGCGCTTTGTAGGTGAGATGTAGTAGCTGGATTATAGTCTTCCTGTAATCGGAAGCCTCAGTTGGAACAGGGGCAACATGGTGCCATTTGTGTTGTTTTTGTGTTGTTGTTGTTGTTTTCAATGCGGTCTCCACGCCCGGCATGGAGCCTGTTGCGGGGATTGAACTCGAGACCCTGAGATCAAGACCTGAGCTGAGATCAAGAGTTGGATGCTTAACCTACTGAGCCACCCAGACGCCCTGATACCATTTGGATTTTTTAAAGACCCTCCAGCTGCTCTGAGGGAAGATAGGTAATAGGGGTGCCGAAGGAGAGTCAGGAATCCCAGCGTATTACTTATCTCTTGCTGCATAACAACCGTCATTGATTATTAGCTCTCAAAGTACTCGGGGTCGACAGGGCTCAATTGGGTGGTTCTTGCTTAGGGTCTCCCAGGAAGTTTCAGTCAGACGGTGGTGGGGGCTCCCTCACTTCCATGTCTAGCACTTAAGTGGGAAAGACTCAGACAGCATGATGCTCTGTGGTCTCTCCACATGAAGGCTTCTTATAGCCAGACTTTTTACATGGCTCCTCAGTGGACTCAAAGGTGCACGTCCCAAGAAAGAGATCCAGGGAGACGCTGTACTGCCTTCTAGACCTAGCCTCAGAAGTCACATAAGTCACTTCTACCATCCTCTGTTAATGAAGGCCATCACACATGCTCACACAGGATTAACAGAAGGGGGCAGAGACCCCAGTGCTTGATGGGGAGTGATGGCAAGGTTCTGGAAGAGCATGTAGGACTAGGAATATTGTGGGCATTTTGTGAAAAATACAGTCTCCTATAACCAGTTAGAAGGCCATTTCTGTAGTCTTGGATAGCTGTTATGATGGATAAGAAAAGGATGATCATGGTGAAGATTGAAAAAGGATGTGTTTGTAATAGAGTTTACAAGACTTCCTAATCATTTGGATGTGGCAGGTAAATAAAAATCTAAGTCAAGATGACTCTAGGGTTTTGGCTTGAGCATCTTGGTGGATAGTGTGCTGTTGACCAAGTCAGGGAAAATTGGAGGAGGAGCACATCTTTTGAGAAGCCTAAAATGCCTATAGATGTCTATCTCTTTGGCCATGTCGAGCAATACTATGCGTTGGAAAGACGAGTGTGGGGTGTCAGGATGCTCCCTGAGTTACGGTTCCTCTTATTTGTGTCTGATCCTGAGAGGACAGTCCGCTTTCCTACTTTGTATTGGGTTGTATCAAGTATTCCCAGAAATACCTTTGTAAATCAATACTCTGTTGATTTTTTTTAAACATCAGTTCCCATTCTAGAAAATGCCTACATTATGCCTCCCTTGAAAAATTTGAAGATGAAGGAAATCATATTTAGAACAGAAAAAAAAAAAGAAAGAAAACTAAGTTGTTTTTTTTTTTCCTGAGACCAAATGCTTTTGGGAGTATGAGTCAATTTAAAAGTGTTTACTTCATTTTTATAGTGAAAATAGATATTTTCAGTCCCTTTAAAGAAGAGCCTGGAGGCGCCTGGGTGGCTCAGTTGGTTGAGCATCCAACTCTTGATTTCAGCTCAGGTCATGATCCCTGGGTTGTGGGATCGAGCCCTGTGTGGGGCTCCGTGCTGAGCGTGGAGCCTGCTTAAGATTCTCCCCCTCTCTCTCTCCCCCTCTCTTTGTCTCTCCCCCTCTCTGTCTCTCCCCCTCTCTGTCTCTCCCCTTCTCTGTCTCTCCTTCCCTCTCCCTCTTCCCCTCTCCCCCACTTTCACTCTCTTTAAAAGGCTCTTTTTTAGAACCTGCGCGATACTTAAATGGAACATCATACAGCTGTCCCTCTGGGGCATACGCTGATGCATATGTTTAAGTGCCCATAATAAGTTTAAGTGTATATTTTTTATATTTTGCCTTTTTTATTCTCTCCTTTTATATCTGTGTAGCATAATATGCACATTTGACTCTCAGGGGTTAAGAGTAAGCTGACTCTTCTACCATGGTCGTAGTGAGTATTTGCTCTTAATTTCAGGTCTAATACTCCGATCATTTGCTTAATACTCTCAGGTCTATTTATCTTGTAGGCTCTTAGTCTTTGAAGTATATATTTTTATGTCTTTATGTCTCTGATCATTACACGAAGAATGTTATCTCTTAACAATTGGAAATTATTTTAAGATCACATTACTTGGTGTAGTATATAGTAGTGTAAAACGTAACCTTAGATGTGAATGTGTGTGTGTGCGTGTGCACACTTTCTAATCAGAGCTGTCTAATTTATGTATAATTTAACATCAGGAAAAGCTCCGAAGGAAATGTTCACAAACACATATGGTCGCAGTTGGATAATAGCAGAGGCTTAAGGAAATCACTTTTTTGTGTTTTTTGGTTTTCTAGAGTAAAGACATTCATTTTCAGAGACGGCACATCACCTATGCACTCACCTTAGAAGCTGGGGAAAAGTTACTCAACACAGCTAGCCTGGAAACAAAAGAGTTGATTGACAAGAAAATCAGTCAACTCCAGGACAACTGGAAGGACACAAAGCTCCAAGTAGGAGAGATGATTACCCAGTTGCAGAGCAATATAGAGGTAAACTCACCGTTTACTTTTCCTGATATTCAGGTACAGTACATAGAATTTTTGTTTGCTGTGCAAAAATGGGAATGATTTTAGGAAATCACAATATTGTAAGTTTTCCGAGGGACCTTGAGTCCTAATCATACTAGGTATTTGTTGCAAAATACTAATCGAACATTGAGAAAGTTCAGTGTTAAATGTATGCATACTTGAGGTTCTATTTCATATTCACTTTTACAAAACAAGAAACTCATTCACGTTCCATGGAAGTTCTGCACAGAAAGCTAATGTTCCACATATGGTCTGACGTTGCGTGTGGTATGTGAAAATAAACACGGTAATACTTCCTCTTTGTTCTGTCGTCCGAGAATGTGCTTTTTCATAGAAGTGCGTATAAGAGTTTCACAGATAATTTATGATTATATTTTTAAGAACCAAAATGTTTTATTCTGAGTCATTATTAGAAAATAATTATTATTTTGTTACACTAAAACATATCAAGGTATTCTTAAGGACTCTGAGCTGCTTTGATCCCATGGCCCAACACAACTATTGTGGTTTTTTTTTTTTTTTT